GGTGAGACAAGGCCTCGTACATCCTGGAGACTTAATGAGACCCTATTGGAGTCAGCCAATACTTGTAAATATATGAAAGAAATAACTAAACTCTTTTTTGAAGAGAACATGACCCCAGATATCTCCATGGAAAAATATTGGTGCACTTATAAATGTGTGATTAGAGACCACCTGATCCAAATGGGAACAAGGGCTAAAATAAATAAAGGCTTAAATTTAGCCGATTTGAATTTGGCACTTTCAGCTGAAAAGGAGAAAAATAAGGTAAACTCCTCAGAAGGAATAGCTTCTCAAATTGGGAAGATCAGAGAAGAAATAAACCAAAAGTTGTTAGATAATGTTAAAGAAGCCCTAACAAAACTTAATCAAACTTACTACCTAAAAGGGAATAAAGCGGATAAAGTGCTGACGGACAAATTAAAAAAGCGCACTTCCTCCCAAAGAATTTATAAAATATCAAATAATGGAAAAACTATATATTCTCCATCAGAAATTGGTGAGGCTTTTGGATCCTACTACCAGAACATGTACAATTTAAAAACCTATAAGACGAATGAAGAGATTCAAAATTATTTAAAAGAATGTCGCATGTCTGTCCTCACAGAAGATCAAGTTAGGAATTTAAACCAACCAATAACGGAAGTAATCTTAGCTATAGATAAAAAAGAAATAAATAAAGCCCCCGGCCCAGATGGCTTCCCTGGAATATTTTATAAAACTATGAAGGATGATATAAGTAAATACCTTGTAAAACTATTTAACTCCTTTACAGACAATAATGAAATTAGTGCCGAACTGCTTCAAGCAAATATAATACCCATTCTAAAAAATAATAAAGACCCCTCCCTGATTGAGAATTATCGTCCCATATCACTCATCAATGCTGACATAAAATTATACTCCGCTGTTAAAGCTGATATCCTTCCAATAACATACGAAGAGTTGAAGATCTTATCGATCTGACTAATAGGAGAACAGACCAGACTATCTTACTTTTGCTTGATGCAAATAAAGCCTTTGATCGTGTTAGCTGGAATTTCATGTCCCAAACCTTGATTAACAGAGGTTTTAATGGCTGGATCTTTCGGGCAATATCCGCTCTTTATACTAATCCCTCAGCTAGGATTATTGGCTCACGTATCACTTCCTCTTGGTTTAAGGTTCGAAATGGTACAAGGCAGGGTTGCCCTCTCTCCCCAATGCTATATATTCTCACCTTGGAACCCTTCTCTCAGTATATTAGATTGAATGAAAACATTAAGGGAATACAGTTTGATCATAGAGAGATAAAATTAAGCTAATATGCGGATGATGTTATACTGATATTAACAGATCCTGTATATTCCATAAACTGTCTTCTTAGAGAAATGGAAATATATGGAAACATGTCGAATTATAAGCTTAATACATCTAAATCAACTATTATGAGCTGGAATTTAAACAAGACTACTAAGGATTTACTACAGAGAGAATGGGAGACAGACAGTACTGAATCTTTGGGCATAGTCCTTACTTCTCATATAAAAAAATAAGTAAGGTTAATTGGGAGAAACTGTTAAATCAGACATCTAGATTGCCTAATGAGTGGAAATCCCTAGAACTTTCTTGGTTGGGACGAATCAATGTTATAAAATCTTATGTGTTTCCAATATGGAATTATCTGTTTGGAGTGATCCCCATATATCTGTCCAGAACAAATTTACTTAAGATCCAAAGATTATTCTCGGACTATATATCGAAGGGCAAAAAAATCAAGAATAAAAAGAAAGATATTAGAGAAAAGAATAGACAAAGGAGGTTTATCTATCCCTAACATTAAAAAATATCAGGATGCAGCGATCCTTAAACATATCTATAAGTGGTTCCATATAGACCCCAAAGATGCCTATAGCCCCTCCCTGTGCTTGTGCTGCTGCCAACAGGAAGGCTCCTATGTCCGTATCTGGTGGAACTGTCAAAAATTAAAACCCTTGTGGGAATTAACATATAACACATTCAATTTTTTGACAGGTATCCATATGACAGTCTCTCCTCAATCTGCTTTATTACATCTTGAATGGCCTGAATTATCCAAAAAAAAATAGATATATGGTCACCCATATTTTGATTGCTGCAAAGAAATGTATAGTAAACTTCTGGAAGCAAAAGGAATCCCCAACATGGGCAACACTCAAAACGCAAATCTCATTCCATTTGAAAATGGAAAGAGAGCCCCTGTCTATAATTAAATATGGTTGGAATATATGGAATAACTTTATCCAAGAGGATTAGTATGTGTATATATATGTTTATATGTATGTATATGTATGTGTGTGTATATACAGGGAGTGCAGAATTATTAGGCAAATGAGTATTTTGACCACATCATCCTCTTTATGCATGTTGTCTTATTCCAAGCTGTATAGGCTCGAAAGTCTACTACCAATTAAGCATATTAGGTGATGTGCATCTCTGTAATGAGAAGGGGTGTGGTCTAATGACATCAACACCCTATATCAGGTGTGCATAATTATTAGGCAACTTCCTTTCCTTTGGCAAAATAGGTCAAAAGAAGGACTTGACAGGCTCAGAAAAGTCAAAAATAGTGAGATATCTTGCAGAGGGATGCAGCACTTTTAAAATTGCAAAGCTTCTGAAGCGTGATCATCGAACAATCAAGCGTTTCATTCAAAATAGTCAACAGGGTCGCAAGAAGCCTGTGGAAAAACCAAGGCGCAAAATAACTGCCCATGAACTGAGAAAAGTCAAGCGTGCAGCTGCCACGATGCCACTTGCCACCAGTTTGGCCATATTTCAGAGCTGCAACATCACTGGAGTGCCCAAAAGCACAAGGTGTGCAATACTCCGAGACATGGCCAAGGTAAGAAAGGCTGAAAGACGACCACCACTGAACAAGACACACAAGCTGAAACGCCAAGACTGGGCCAAGAAATATCTCAAGACTGATTTTTCTAAGGTTTTATGGACTGATGAAATGAGAGTGAGTCTTGATGGGCCAGATGGATGGGCCCGTGGCTGGATTGGTAAAGGGCAGAGAGCTCCAGTCCCACTCAGACGCCAGCAAGGTGGAGGTGGAGTACTGGTTTGGGCTGGTATCAAAGATGAGCTTGTGGGGCCTATTCGGGTTGAGGATGGAGTCAAGCTCAACTCCCAGTCCTACTGCCAGTTCCTGGAAGACACCTTCTTCAAGCAGTGGTACAGGAAGAAGTCTGCATCCTTCAAGAAAAACATGATTTTCATGCAGGACAATGCTCCATCACACGCGTCCAAGTACTCCACAGCGTGGCTGGCAAGAAAGGGTATAAAAGAGGTAAAATCTAATGACATGGCCTCCTTGTTCACCTGATCTGAACCCCATTGAGAACCTGTGGTCCATCATCAAATGTGAGATTTACAAGGAGGGAAAACAGTACACCTCTTTGAACAGTGTCTGGGAGGCTGTGGTTGCTGCTGCACGCAATGTTGATGGTGAACAGATCAAAACACTGACAGAATCCATGGATGGCAGGCTTTTGAGTGTCCTTGCAAAGAAAGGTGGCTATATTGGTCACTGATTTGTTTTGTTTTGTTTTTGAATGTCAGAAATGTATATTTGTGAATGTTGAGATGTTATATTGGTTTCACTGGTAATAATAAATAATTGAAATGGGTATATATTTGTTTTTTGTTAAGTTGCCTAATAATTATGCACAGTAATAGTCACCTGCACACACAGATATCCCCCTAACATAGCTAAAACTAAAAACAAACTAAAAACTACTTCCAAAAATATTCAGCTTTGATATTACTGAGTTTTTTGGGTTCATTGAGAACATGGTTGTTGTTCAATAATAAAATTAATCCTCAAAAATACAACTTGCCTAATAATTCTGCACTCCCTGTATGCAGGGGCGGACTGACCACTCGGGCACTTCGGTCATGGACCGAGGGCCCGAGGCAGTCAGGGGCCCGGCAGCACAGCCGTGCTCCAGCTGGAGAGATCAGAGATCAGAGATCTCTCCAGCTGGAACGGAAAAATAATAAAATAAAACTTTTTAATTGATAGGTTGTGGGGCCCCTGATGCAGCGCGGGGCCCCCACAACCTACCGCTCTTCAAGTCACCCCCCCCCCCATGAGACCTGGCAGCTTCACCTCCTCCCTGCCAGGTCTCCTGCTTCCTCTCCCATGCGGCTCTGTGTGATGGGAGAGGCGGGGCCAGGAAGTGACATCACTTCCTGTTTACTCCTCTCACACAGAGCCCAGCATGGAGAAGGAGCAGCAGGCGGGGAGAGAAGAGGGAGCAGAGATGCAGGTAGGCACCAACCACCCCCTTCCCCCCCCCTCACTATCACCAGTCACCCCCCTCACTGTCACCAGTCACCCCCCCACTGTCACTAGTCACCCCCCACTGTCACTAGTCACCCCCCCACTCTGTCACCCCCTCACTGTCACTAGTCACCCCCCCACTGTCACTAGTCATCCCCCCTCACTGTCACTAGTCACCCCCCACTGCTCACTAGTCATCCCCCCTCACTCATCACTAGTCACCCCCCTCACTGTCACTAGTCACCCCCCACTGTCACTAGTCACCCCCCTCACTGTCACTAGTCACCCCCTCACTGTTGTCACAGTCACCCCTCCTGTCACTAGTCACCTGTCACCAGTCACCCCCCTCACTGTCACCAGTCACCCCCCCTCACTGTCACCAGTCACCCCCCCCTCACTGTCACTAGTCACCCCCCCTCTCTGTCACTAGTCACCCTCTCCCTCACTCTGTCACTACTCACACCCTCCCTCACTCTGTCACTAGAGTGAGGGGATGACTGGTGACAGAGTGAGGGGATGACTGGTGACAGAGTGAGTTAGGGGGTGACTAGTGACAGAAGGAGGGATGGAGTAGTGACAGAGGGAGGTGGTGACTAATGACAGTCACCTCCTCCCTCACTCTGTCACTAGTCACCCCCTCACTCTAGTGACAGTGAGGGAGGGTGTGACTAGTGACAGAGTGAGGGAGGGAAGTGGTGACTAGTTGACAGCGTTAGGGAGGGAAGGGGTGACTAGTGACAGAGTGAGGAAGGGGGTGACTAGTGACAGAGGGAGGGGTGACTAGGGACAGAGTGAGGGAGGTGGTGACTAGTGACTAGTGACAGTCACCACCTCCCTCACTCTGTCACTAGTCACCACCTCCCTCACTCTGTCACCCCCTCCCTCTGTCACTGGTCACCCACTCCCTCCCTCACTCTGTCACCAGTCACCCCTTCCTTCCCTCTGTCACTAGTCACCCCTTCCCTCACTCTGTCACCTGTCACCCCCTCACTCTGTCACCCCCTCACTCTGTCACCCCCCTCACTCTGTCAATAGTCACCCCACTCACTCTGTCACTAGTCACCCCCCTCACTCTGTCAATAGTCACCCCCTCACTCTGTCAATAGTCACCCCCTCACTCTAGTGACAGAGAGAGGGAGGGGGTGACTAGTGACAGAGAGAGGGACGGGGTGACACAGTGACAGAGTGAGGGAGGGAGTGACTAGTGACAGAGAGAGGGATGGGGTGACTAGTGACAGAGTGAGGAAGGGGGTGACTAGGGAGAGAGGGGGTGACTAGTGACAGAGGGAGGGGTAACACAGTGACAGAGTAAGGGGGTGACTAGTGACAGAGTGAGGGAGCGGGTGACACAGTGACAGAGTTAGGGAGGGAGTAACTAGTGACAGAGAGAGGGATGGGGTGACTAGTGACAGTCACCCCCCCCTCACTCTGTCACCAGTCATCCCCTCACTCTGTCACTAGTCACCCCTTCCCTCCCTCACTCTGCCACTAGTCACCCATTCCCTCACTCTGTCACTAGTCTCCCATTCCCTCACTCTGTCTGTCACTAGTCTCCCCCTCTCCTTCCCTCTGTCACTAGTCACCCACTCCCTCACTCTGTCACCAGTCACCCCCACTCACTGTGTCTCCCCCTCACTCTGCCACCACTCAACCCCTCCCTCACTCTGCCACCAGGTACCCCCTCACTCTGCCACCTGTCACCTTCTCCCTCACACACTCTGTCACCTGTCACATATGCATTCACACAGACACTATATACAAAAAAGCACATGTAGTCATCCAGACATGCACAAGTGCATTCACACAGACTCAAATACAAACATGCATTGATACACAGGTCTTCACAATACACACATCCAAAGGAATGCCGTATTATGAATTATATTTAACATTTATTAAAATGCACATATATTTGGCCTTCAAAGGGCCTGGGATCTAATTTTGCCCGGGGGCCCCAAAGGCTCTCAGTCCGCCCCTGCCTGTATGTATATATAGATGTGTGTAAAATTGTTTGAGAACTCCCTGAGTGGAAAGCTATTGCTTTGAATACTCCTCCTGCTTTTTCCATCCTGTGAGAATATTCTGGGGGTCTAATATGAATATGGTATTAAATTGGTAAATTTTGAACAAGAATTACTTTTAGACCCCTCATATGTATTTTAACGCTTAAGACCATCATGTTTTGTCCTTGTTTTGTCTGTATGTAATGCAGTATGCTGGGGTCTCGGTTGAATTGGATCTCAATAGCCGATTGATCTGGGTTTTAGATAATAGGGAAATGGGATAATTGGGCATGGATAAATTATTACTGGACTGTATTTTGATGTTTTGTGATTGTATGTCATTTTGATTATATGGAAAACTCAATAAATAATTATAAATAAATAAAAAATGTCATACATAAATCATTATTATTATTATGATATTTATAGAGCGCCGTCAAATTCTGCAGTGCTTTACAATGGGTGGACAAATAGACATGTAGTTGTAACCAGACAAGTTGGACACACAGGAACAGATGGGTTGAGGGCCCTACTCAATGAGCTTACATGCTAGAGGAAGTGGGGTAAAATGACACAAAAAGGTAAGGATAGTATTAGACTAGTGACAGTTACAGAAGAGGAATCAGTCAGGAGCTATTTACAGTTTAATTGATACGCTTTTATGAAGAAGTGGGTTTTTAACGATTTTTTGAAGGAGTGGAGACATTATATCAATATATAAAAAAGGTCTACATATAAATGTTCAAAAAGTGTATAAATGTAACCATTTTATACACAAGAAAATGATACACACACAAAACAGTCACACACATGCTAGAGAACATGGTAGGATGTTTGCATACATAATCTCCTAACAGTCCTTAGCAGTGACAGGGTCACAACACAGAGCCATTTTGACACCAGCAAATTTTTTAGAATGTACAGGGGCCGTTCCTTAGTTTAAAGTCAAACAATTTAGGAATTGCTTGACATAAAGAGGGGTATTTCTAGATTAGAATGTCCCTTTAGACAGCCTTTGATTTTATAGTGATTAGTGGTGATGTCCCGAACTGTTCGCCCAACGGTTCGCGAACAGTTCGCCACGGTTCGTCACGAACGGTTCGCCGCGGACTCATCATTGAGTAAACTTTGACCCTGTACCTCACAGTCAGCAGACACATTCCAGCCAATCAGCAGCAGACCCTCCCTCCCAGACCCTCCCACCTCCTGGACAGCTCACTAAGAATGCAGCTTCACAATGGATGCTGTCCAGGAGGTGGGACGGTCTGGGAGTGAGGGTCTGCTGCTGATTGGCTTGAATGTGTCTGCTGACTGTGAGTTACAGGGTCAAAGTTTACTCAATGATGAGTCCGCGGTGAACCGTTCGTGGCGAACTGTTCGCGAACCGTTCGGCGAACAGTTCGGGACATCACTAGTGATTAGATGTTCTTATTTAGATTGCCTCTCTGAAGTTTCTGATACTTACCAGACATCTTTAATTAGTTTATGCCGTCCATACATAAAACTGTGTGATGTGTTAAAAATGAGGTTTTCCAAACGAATTAGGTAACACAGGTGTCATTAAGTAGATTTAAAGTAAATATGCTAACGTTTACTTCCTCCTATCAATCTACTTAACTTTCAGAATGCAGTTCTTTAGACATCTTCAAGCTATTACTATGGAGTCTAATCTTTACATCTATTGAACAATACTTCATGAAATGTCAGTAGTGACATATCCATTGTCTAGCTTTGGTTCAGATAGAAGATTGCATTAGTCTTAATCCAAGAACACAACAAAATATATTGTTTGAGGCATTATTGGCAATCTCCTCTAAGCCACATCTTGTTTTAATTATTTATTTTAGTTATTATTATTATTCTACTCTCTTCTTACTACACTGCATTGAATGTTTCAATATTTTCCAAGTATCACAGATTATTACTATTTTGTAAAACAAAATATGAGGCTTTGTATATGTATACAGATGTGTGGCCTATATTTGTGCGTGCTGTGGGTTCTATGACTTGTGACGCTGCAAACAAAATGTAAATAAAACAGTTGTTACTTCAAGCCCACTTACGCCCTATGTCCTGGGTTACAGTAAAATGCACCTATTATACAAGCACACTATCTCATACAAAACAACACACTCCACCATATACTTATCTCTTCCAGTGGAACACCACCTTATTTCTGACTGAAATTCACAACCACTTATTATCAATTGGTCAGACTTTTTTTTTACTAGTGCAAAGCACTGACAACGTCTTTCTCTCTGTCCCCTTTTCTTATAAATTGCTCTAAGTACCTTATTTTTTGCCTATACTGATTGGAGTTGTGGTTTAACTCAGTGACTAGTATCTAACTCCCATTATTAATGGGGCTGGTCACTTTGTGCCCCTATATAAGCATTACTAGACTAGCCAGTTGCTATCTTTTTTGATCTCATTTAGTGTTACCTTAGCTTTAATAAAAGGTAGTGTTTCTCTTTTTTTCTTTCGTACCTATTCTTCCTCCTCTGTGCCCCTCTTTTCTTGTGGGATCCTCATGAGCTTTTAACATCTCAAAGCCACCAGACTGCACTTTGACACATGACTTCTCATAACTTTAACCAGTTGTGACACAAGTGTCTCAAGCTATCCTACTTCATTACAGACAAGTGGCAGAAATACTTAGTATGCACCTTGATCACAACGCAACTGCAATACATATGTATGTTAATTCATTAATGCTCTATCACTGGCTTCATTCATATACTGGCTGCACGTGACCTTTCCTCAGGTGGTCTCATAGCCTCCTGGAAATCTGGTTCCTCAGCTTTGTTAATCCCATCCTGACATATCAAACCTGTCACCCATACTAATCTGGCATTGTCACTAGCACGTCCATCACAATATATCCCATCAAACTATTCACTTTCACTTGTTCACCTTAATAATCTACCCTCTTCCAGAGCAACCCAACCTTCACTTCACGCACCTCCTGTTAAGCTCCCTACACCCCAGCTTGATTTTTACTTGCTAGATAAACGTTACCGTTTCACAACTATTACTTTGAAACATGTTGCTGTTTCTTTTAATGCACTATAATTACATATGGTTGTATTGTCATTATGTTCATATTTATTAATAAAAATATTTAAAAAAACAAAAAACCTTCTAACTTGTATGATGAACCGTTCTTATATGGTGCCTTCATCGAGGCTATTGAAAAAATGGGAAGAAAATGAACAATATCTCTTTAAATATGGGTTGCCTCCCGATCAGACATTTGAGGATCCAAACGTTTAGCAACAAGAATTGTGTGACATGTATAAATTTATAGAAGACAATTAAGTATTATGGAATAACATAGATTAGTAGCATAATGTAAACAGTTTGAATCACTGATTGTCACAAATTAAATACTGGAAAACCTTCCAATATTCTTTGAGGCCAGTGGTTTTAACCTTGTGGCTAAAACCCAAAATATTTGTTGTTTAAGTGTGTTTTCTCACATTATTGGACATCATATAACTCAGATCTTTGACAACTACCCACAACACAATGTTTACTGTAGTTGCATCACTTTCCCTACTTTAAAACTGAAAGTAGTCTACTGAATATATTTTCTATATTTAATTTTGATTATTTTGGATTACAGTTGAAGAATGGGATAATGAGTTATGAGTTATATACATAAACCGGGTTTAAAATAAAAGTTTAAAAAAGTTAAGAGTCACTGCTCTTGCCCAAGCCCAGAGAGAGGGGCTGAGGAATCTGGTCAATGAAAGCTTTCACCAAGTGTGTGGGAAAAGCTAATAACAGCAGAGAGCGGTGACACATAGTATTCTGCAGCCAACAGATGGTCTGTGAAGACAAACACTCCAAACCTCAGCTGTCGCATGGACCAAGAACTTAACCCATTTTGTGACATGAAGGAGATAACATGTTTGTATGCACATTGAGGTTGATCCATACATACTTGGCAACTTTTAATAAATTTATCCTAGCACCCTTATTTATAAATATCA